TGTGGGACATTGAGCAATGTAATGAGATCCATTTCTCACACAGTGCTACATTAAAGGATGTCCACCCACTAATTAATAGGCATGTTGACAATTTTCTGTCAAAATGATGCGCCAGATTTCAGTCGATTTATCATCTCGAAGTCTCTGAAACTACTGTAGGAAAGGCTGGCAATTCTAGTAGGTAGGTTAGTCAGTGTAGCAGAATGTTAAAAGAACCTCTATTATATGAAGGGAATGGCAACTGCTAGTTTTGAAGGCCAGATATAAAAGTTGTTCTTTCAAAAAGGCCAGAAACATTTAAGAATAGCAATGTGTACTCGTACTCTCTGTACTTGTACATTAAAGTTTGTACCTGTAAATTCTGTTTCGAAAGCTTGTATATACGGATATGTACTTGGAGGCTTTAAAATGAGATGCCGAGGACGTAAAGCAAATGTCAACTGACAATTTCACAACCTGAAGTAATCATCGGCAACCTCACTCACGTTAAAAACAATCCATCAGTGGCCAAATCACAAAATATAATTATTGGATTCTTTCTTTTGTTAAATGCACTCTGCATAGCAGTGTTGGCATATAGTTAGCTGTTGTCCATCTTTATGAATCTACTATCATTGCAAACCTCCACTGACTGCAGTACTTTTCATTTAAGACATTCTTGGCAGATTGGCCCCATTAAATTTGGTTTAGAAGAAGAAGAGAAAAGAAAATGAAAAGAAAAGGAGATTTTAATTTTTTGCGTATCAGATTCCGTATATAGGGTAAGATGTAATGCTGCTACGCACATATTTACTTAGTTTTGTATTTAAAAGGTCCAGTGTGTAACATTTAAGAGGTTGTATGCAGAAATCCACATATAATATATGTTTTAGTTTTTGTTAGTAGTTATAGTTAGAGTAGTTTTTAATCACCTGAAAATAAGAATCGTTGTGTTTTCATTACCTTAGAATGAGCCATTTTTTTAAAACAGGGAGCCGGTCCCCTTCTGGCGGAGTCCGCCATGACCAACCTCTAGCTAGGGCCTCTTGTACTTCGTTAGTGTAGATAGTTGCAATCTGCAACTTCACCACTGGATGCCACAAATTCTTACACACTGGTCCTTTAAAGTCAGGTCTAATAAAGATAAGTGTAGTTTAGGATCATCTAACTACATATATTAAAAAAACACCAGTTTTGGCTGACTGGCTGGGAAAAGGAAACTTAAAAATTCTTAAAACATTACAGGAAATCAGACAATGAGTACATTTAAACTCATGCTTTACACGTGACACAACTTTTCTTTTTGTTTAACAAGACACAACCTTTATCCGGGTTTCCTATGACTGAGTGCCAAGTCAGTCATCAATCCCACATGTTCTCGTAAAACCCAATAAAACAAATTCAATACTACCGGGATGCTCCAATGACATCATAGACCTGTATTGAAACAGCTGTGTGTCTAAGGTGCATGCGGAACGGATTACAACCAACACTTAAATCCGGCACAACCTTCCAATAGATTTAGCTGGAAAAATGTGATTGAGTGAGAATTACAGCGGCACGATACGATTGATATGATAAACTTCTTATTGTATGATGTCAACTGTGCTACCAATAGCTGAAGGAGGGAAGAATTTATTCTCCCATCTCTCTCTCCACTCTTCTTTTCAACTATCTACTAAATACTAAATGCCCAATAAAACATGTTGTTTTTAAGTGGTTCTAAAGGACATTATGACAGGAGACATGAACTTAACAGCTGTGAAAAAGGGTCAAACATTCACACTTTTCAACTTGTTTAAACAAATTTTACCCTCCCGGATCTTGCAGGATCAATATCATGACATTTATTTTGAACTGAACTATACAATTATATTGAACTCCCCCTCCAGTCAAAACTCAGTTTCTCTTCTTAGAGAAAATACCTTTTTAAGGATTTTAAAGTGGAAATTATACTTTTTATTGCAGAAAAAAACATCAGACACAAATTATTGTTCCAAGCAGACTACCTGTCTGGAGGGGATCGTTTAAACTAAAGTCTGGCGCTTTAATTACTGTAACCAACTGTACTCTGGGAACGCCAGAAAAAACACAGATAAAATACTGGAAATTCCAATGTGCACAGCATTGCACTAAAAACTACTGAAAAGACTTTGTGTTTCCGAAATAGGAAACAGTTTGCGATTTTTTCCTCTGGTCAGGATGAAGGCAATGAACTTGATGGCGAAGACTGTGTGGAGTGGTCAGGGTCACACATACACACAACCACAACTCAGATGATGACCAGGGACTTTAGCCTAAAAGATCACAAGGTGTCAAACAAGCCCAGAACGTGACAGAGAGAAGGATATCATAGGAAAGATGATGAAATGATCGGAAACAGATTGCACAATCATGTGATAACTCATGAAAGAGGAAGTTTAGCCATTTAGGAGGAAGACCATCATCTGTCAAGATGGATCACCATTCAGGGAAACACCACAGGAAGTGGTGCTGCTGACCAAATTTAAAGCCAATGCATTTTGGTGCTTCGCCAGAATTAACGTTTATTCTAAAATCCTTTCTGATCGATTACTCATATTAAATTAAAATCTCTGAGATTTAAATACAGTATATTTTAATAAAAATAAAATGTAATTCTGCAGCTTACAAGCATGTGTAAAATCATAAAACTATGAAACTAGAAAATAACAGAAGGTTTTAAAGAGAAATCTGGAAAGTGACACTTTATATCCCCAAATATGAGTTGATATAACAGCAATAAGCAGGGAAATAAGATCAAGAGCCAAAAACACAGCACCTGTCTCCATGACACAGCTGAATAGCTCTGCTAAAAATACACATCACCTCTAAAAATACAACAAAGCCCACAGGAAAGGGACCAGAATAGACCCGAACCATCACTGACAGGCACCAAGATCTAAAAATCATCAAGCACACACTGCACAGTGCTCACGTGCACACAGACAGACAGGAGTCTGCGTGATCGATGGTGTACAAATACTCAGCAGGCTTTTGTTAATGCAGACACACAAACACACACGCACACGCACACACACACACACACACACACACACACACACACACCTCCTTTCTCCTCCCTTCTCTCACACACGTACACCGGCTGTCAGATAATTATGCCACCTTTTATTGAACCACCCTGAGTAAATAAGGATGTAGTAGTATACTAAATTACACTTTTCCCACATGTACTTTGGTCTCCTACTGTGTGATGGGCATTTACCAGAGGCAGGAATGAAGTCAGTTTGTTTTCTTGTGCAGCTTTATATTCAAACTTTACATAATGTTTAACTTCTGGGTACATGGATAAAGATTGTGTGCTAAGCAGCACATTAGTGTTGATACAGAAGTGTTCAAACAGCTGGGACAAGCATACAGCTCCACTAAAACGAAAAAAAATAATGGTTTCCTCCAAGACAACTTGCCATTTTCAGATTTGGGTGGCTCAGGTGATACAGCGGGTCATCTAGTAATCAGAGGGTCAAGATATTTCTATTCCCAGCTCCCCCAGTCAAAGTGTCGACTTGTGTCCTTGGGCAAGATACTGAACCCCAAATTGCTCCTGATGGCTGTGATGCCGGTGTGTGTGTGTGTCTGTGTGTGTGTGTGTGTGTGTGTGTGTGTGTGTGTGTGTATGTATGGGTGAGTGCTCTGGATATGAAGCTGATGAACAGTCTAGCACCTTGCATGGTAGCCTCTGCCATTAGTGTGTTAGTGTGTGTGTGAATGGGTGAATTTGACAAGTATTGTAAAGTGCTTTGAGTGACCAGTAGACCAGGAAAGCGTTGTATAAAGCCCATTTATCATTTGATACACACCCCTTGTAAGTACATTGAGGACACAGAAGAGAAGCTTATGGAAACGCCTTGAAGGCAGAATGCAATTTATCCATACTGTAGTATCGCTTTTCAGTTTGACTAGAACAATCTGCAGCTCTTTAGTCCCATTTGTCCCCGTCCTTTTTACATTTTCATTTATCATTGTTGTAGTCCTCAAGTGATTCATACATTCTATAATTATAAAATGTGTTGTTGTTTTTTTCACTTGCAATACGTTACATCCTTGCCTGGCGTCTTTTCCTCTATATTTTGTCGAACCTCAATAGTGGTGGCTACAAGACATAAGTCTCCCTAACTAGGCCAGCTATGGATTCCAAATCCAAAAAGAGAAAATAGAGTTGTGCAATTTGTTTGTTTTCACCACCAATACTGCTGGCTTGGTTTGATCTGCGGTGAGAAATTAAGGCTTAAATATGTTTTGTGGCTCCAGACAGATTTGTTTTTGGCCCAAAATGGCTCTTTTGACAGAAAAGGTTGCCGACCTCTGGACTAGAATTACTTCTTCATGATTCAAGTTTGTCTGTTAGTACAGTCGGAATGAATGCTTTCTCTTCATGAGAGAAGAGCACTCATGACGGCAGAGGTCTCGGAGAAGACTTTTCATTTATATTCATGGTATAGTAAGCACACCTCAAGACCAAGGGCCAAAAATGGATCAGAGATCTAAATGAAATTGATGAAATAATCAGCCAGGGATGTGGACAGAAATTTCCGGAATGACTCAGCTTTAAAAGAGGGACTTCTTAAAAAAAACAACAACAAATATTTAGAGGAAGAGGCTGATAGAGTACAAAACTGCATGTGACCATCATGTGGCCAACAACCTCAACTAAGAGTAGCAGCAGCATGCAGAATATGCACATTTACTAACAATGATGTACTAAACTAGTACATCTAAATACTGCACATATGAACAGAGATTATACAGTGTTATATTCAAATCAAATGTTTAACGAGACATTAAAGCTGTGTGCTACAGTTCATCTGTTGACCCAGTTTTAAACTGACTTTAGGGGAATATTTGAATAGCTCCAAGCAAAAGATTGTGTTATGAGAATAGGAATTTAGATTTCTGTCTTTCTTCCCTTAAAGAAACAGTCATGACTTCCATCCCAACACACACACACACACACACACACACAAACCGCAGTTCAAACTCACTATGCAGCCGTCGACAGCACTGGCTGTATCTGTAGTAGCTCTCCATCTCCTCCAGTGAGATGCAGACAAACCTCTCTCCTCCACATTCCCGCTTCCCCATGCACCCCTTCATCCCGTCCCTCTGCCCGCTCTCCTCTTCCTCCCTCCCCGTCCTCATCTCCACAGGTAGAGAAAAGAGTATCGCCTGCCGCCTCATCCTGCTCTCTTCATTTGTATTTCCAAACGCTCGCTGTTTGCCTGTCTCTCTCTCTTCCTTGCACACACACCTGTCAAAGTTTCTTGAGTGATTCCACCACTCCTCTTTCCTCTGCTCCTCCCTCCGGCTGTGGAAATCTGCATACCTATATCTGGCTGAGCAAGAGAATATATTCTGCTATACCTTTGAAAGCTTGTTCTCATCCTTGCCTCAAAAGTAGTCCACATTCAGGATTTAAATCCTCACTTTTCTTGCAGTTTGGCCACAGACGCCATCACACATGCACACAAAGAGTCTTCAAAATAACTATTTCTTAAACAGCGGTGGGCATAGGTTGAAACAGGTGTCGATCTTTACATGAAAATATGTCATAAAACCTGCAGATTTAAAACCCTTTCAAAATAAAACCAAGATTGTAAGACAAGAGCACTGATGTTGGGCATAAAAACGGACTGAGAGTTCATAGTCCAGCCAGGACCTGATTGTCGCTCCTGCAGCAGAGATCCAACTTCCTGCCTAAAACTGAGGAAACACTTTAATCTACAGCATTAACACAACTATACAAACCCTCATGGTTGCCAGTTGTATGCAGGACAGTCATACAGACCTGTGCTGGTTTGCATTTTAACAGAGATTGTGTTACTATAACTGTAAAAAGCGAGACAGAGCCAAAGTTCTTAGCTTTAATTCTCAGAATCATACAGTCAGATGTCTTTATAAACAGACAGAGAGTCTAAAGGGATTCCATTGTTTGGCTATAAAAGCTCCAACACAAAATCAACCTCCCATGTAATGTCTACAAACCAAGATTAATCCTCTGACCTGTTTGGTTCCTTGTTCATGTGGACAAATATTGATCAAGCTATGCCACATGACAAACATGTGACTTTAACAATCAATGCAGCTTCTTCTCTGACAGTCCAAAGCCAACATGACCTGCAACCCTAAAAGGTCCCCTTCACAAAGTGCGGCCAGTCGAAATGGCCTGGCTCCACGCGACAGGTTCACAGAAGTAGAATAATAGAATTTCATACACTGAGACGACACTGACCTTGTCTGTGAGTCTGCGTGTATTTGTGATTCTGTTTCCTTTGCGCTGGCTGACGGACACAGCAGAGGCAGGCCGACATGATAAATACAAACACCAGTCCACCAGTCTGCCTCTCCTTCTAATCCGTTTCTTTGACTTTCTGTTTGTTCGCCTGGTCATCCGTCCCTCAACTATCCAACAAGTGAACAGACATTCCGACTGCGTGTGTATTGAGACGTGGGGTAAGTTATCAATTAGCCACTCACAAGGGCTGTATCAGGTAATCAGTTACCACGGTCGCACACCAAAGTGGGCCGAGTTCAAGGACGTACACTGCATAAAGTGCCACCACTGGTGTGCTGAGTCTGTATTTAAAGGAATACTTACGGTTGTTTACCTTCTAATGGGATATTGGATGAGAATATTGTCAATTTCATTCCTGTGTGTGCAACACAGAGATTGGTCCAATGTGTGTTATTAAGAGTGTTTTCTTCAAACCGGGGAGCTCTGTTTCTAGACCTTGGGGTCAGGAAAGAATATTAAGACTGATATTCTGGTTGTAAAGTAGTGGTATTTATTTACTATGCTGTATATTGTACTTAAAATCTAGTTATTTTTTACATAATCCTTTGAGAAAATAGACTAGAAATAGAAATGTATGCCATATGCAAATATACATAATAAATCAGAGTACACCCATCTCAAATAAAGCTGATATACCTTCTCTGCTAGTCAAAAATAATATTTGCTTTTTGCAGTACATGTACAAAATCAAGATGGAGATGAATCCAAAATGTAGTTTAGATACTAGAGAGTATTATTAGTTCAGGCTAACATTCAGACAATTAATGCCAAACTTTATGAAAGTGCATTAAAAAAAATGGCCTTTCTGAATTTGTAATTTAAAAAAGGGCCTTCATTTTTCAGTTAAGGTGCAAACTCAGGGATGGCTTTAACGTAAGATGGGAAAGTTTAATGTTTTTGTACCTTGAATGATGCAGAAAACCAGTTAAGCCTAGATTGGGGGTAAAGTCAGTGTTTTTAATGTAAATGCTGTAACTCAAAGTAAAACCTGAGTATAGTTTTAGGGGCAGATCCCTACATTTGCACCTGAAAAGACCCTTCCATAACACCTCAAATATCATGCACTTATCTTATCTAGGGAGAGGAGTACATACTATTTTCTATGGTATTTCATAATAGTTTTCCTCTGTGGTCCCTATGGTAAAATTTCAAGTAACCCAAGCTACTACAAACACACTGTGGCATCAGCAGGAAGGTGAGGTAGTAAGGTTCTTCTATTATGTTTGAATAATGAGGGGGAAACACAGCAGGGGGAATCTCCCCACGGTGACAGGAAATCCTGTCCTGTCATCCTGTCATATTGATTCAAATAACAGTCACCCTTTGGACATGGATGTCCAGTTACTGTGTGAAAAATACACATACAATATACCCCTAAACCTTCGCAATCAACACACAAACAAACACCAACCTCTTTGGCCGACTGGTCCGCCGCCCCCGCTGCGTGTGTGTCGGGTCAACAGACTGATAGATACGGACAGATTGTGAAGAAGTTGACTCAACACCTCTTGGCCCTCTTGAATTAACTCCAAAAGAGACATCGTCACATCAGAGCAGGCTCCATGTCTATGAGTTTGTTCGCACTGACTGCCTCTCCTCCTCCTCCTCCTCCTCCTCCTCCTCCTCAATGAAGCTGCTGTGTTTGTTCTTGTGAATGTGTGATTGTTTATCTCACTTCATGTCTGCTCTGTGTTTATCACAGGAAGAGAGGGGTGGAGGGTGGGCTATGACATAAACTCCCCTACAGCTAATGATACTGCGTGTGCCGTCTTATGTCACAAATGGAGACTGAGTTTTCAGCAAGGCACAAGAGCACACTAAAAATAAATACCATCGCCTTCATTTTTGAGTTTACTTCCCACTGAAAAGCACATTAACGCTCACAATCTGGTGTCGGATTTCTGTGTGTATACATAAGATAAGAACCACTCCAGACATGAATTAAGACATATATACAAATAATCTGCTTGGAACAATCTGATATGGGGGTTTTTTCTGCAAAAAAGTAAAAATAAATAAATATAATAGATTAAAAAATCTTCATTAAAATCCTTAAAAAGACATGAACGCGTTTTTAACTCTGCACATCATTCTGCACAGTGAAGATCAAACATCCAACTGTAGTAATGAGAAGAAAACTTTATTTTTGACTGGAAGAGGACTTTAACTATCCCATGTCTTTTGCTAACGACCGCTACCAACTCATTATGTCCATATACGGGAACCAGCGACAGATTTCTTGGGAACACATTGTCCCAAAAGTCACATAAGGCTATGTTTTTTCACCATGAGTGATAGAGATTTTACTGTAGCCAGTTTCAAATTGAATTTGCTCTACAGGATACTGAAAATAGTCACATTCACACAATACACCTCTTTTATTTTGCTAATTGCAACTGGCAATTTAGTGTTGTCACACTTTCCTGAGGACAAAGAACGCTGCATGCTAAATTAGTTTATTTTGATGCGAACGGTATCTGAAAAGCCTGTCAACATCTTAGATAGTCTATGTATGATGTCATTTTCGGCCAAATTTAACATAGTGAGTATCTAAATAACAAATAACACAGGCAATAACTATCCCAGCTTCATAATCAGACTGTTTGACTTTATTATTCATCCTATAGAATGCGATTCACTAAAAAAGATAAACATGTGGTCAGCAAACTAAAGATGTGAAACCAGGCAACAATAATTTAGAAACTAAGGAACTATTAATTCTGGAGAAACAAAACCGCTGCTAGTTGACCTCATGAAGGATGATCCTGTACTTGCCAATATGATATTCACAGCAGGTGACAGATTTCGAAAGCACCTGAGTAAGCATTTCTAAAGAATTCATGAAGCCATTCCTGTTGTTGACAGGGTTATATTTTCAGCTTCACATGCATTGCACCCTTCCTTAGAAATAGAAAATGATGTCATTCCATTACAAATGACAATAAAATAACCTTGAATCCTGGATTTTTTTTCAGTAATAACTTTAATCTAATTTTGTTAAAGAAAATCATGAGAAAATCATATTGTGAACCCAGTGGGTGTTCAGTCAGTGGTAGTGTTGAGTGTATCGTTATCTCCCTATGAAGAACTGCTTTTATCCAAAGGAACATTGTGCTATTAAGTCAAGAGATGTGCAGTGCAATGACAGGATCTATGTCAGGTAAGCTATTAGACCGTGTGCTAAAGCGAGCATTATTTTGCACTTACATAACACTGATTTCCCATAAATGTGCAGGAAGTAAAAGTGCAGACTGTCAGCATTTGATCACTGATCTTCAGGGGAAATTATAATGAAAACACAAAGTTATCACAGTGTTAACTTTCCCTGTTGTCAAGCTCACAAAAACTACTCAAGAGAGAGAATGTCAGTCCAAGACTGTAAGAAAAAGGACACATAAGTGTCTCTGTGGCCTCAACAATGTCAACCAATTATCGACTCAAAAGTCCTATTAGTGATTTTTCGTTCTCCATATCCTAGGAGTCTGGCTTCTAAGAAGTATGCAGCAGCTCAGACAACAGGAGCTTCTGACTGTGGCATCGGTGGGTTTAGACTTTTTGGAGGCAATCCTAGGGAGAAAGCTGAAATTACACTGGTGCCATCCGTGAAGGTCTCCACCTCCCTTAGACTATCACATTATCTTTATTTCATCTAATTTATCATGGCACAATCACACAAACATTCCCAAGTGGAACTTCAAAAGAATAGCAAGCAAAGATGGTCATGCACTTTTCATTACGTGGCATACAGCACTATTAGATTTATTAATCAATCAGATAGTAGAAGAGTCACAGTCCGGAAGATCAAAACCTGTGCCCTCCTTCTCTGACAGGACTTCAAACTAATCACAACAATCGCAACAGAAGTCCATTCTCCAACTGCTTTCTTAGAATGATTTATACT